TTCAGGAGCACCTCTTGGTACATTATCTGCCTGAGCTGAGGACTGAAGAAGACTCCCTTGAGGTCCACATGGATTTCCTTGAAGCTGTTCGGGAGAGAGCACCTTTTGGTACGTTATGACGTTGTTGTATCCCCAGGTCCCCGTTACCCTTTCCAGAGTTTTCAGCCCCAAAGCTCCCGGAAGTTCTCGCCGTCCTTTCCCACACCAGACGTTCATTACGAAGCCGATCAACCTCAGCCTGTAAAGTCCGTCTTCGTGGTACTTCACCGTATACTCCTCCAGCTGTCTCTGAACTTCAGCTTGTCTGAATCCACCTCCGAGGCCTGACCATAGATGAAAGGATTCTCTCGCTGTGACTGTCTCATCTGTGCAATCTGCCCTTGATTGAAGAGAGGCTGGGCAGGCGGCGGTGTACTTGTGGACCACGAACCCGGAGGGGGAAGGATCCTTGTACACTGAAGACTGCTGTCCGGTAGGGTTCCAGAAGCGATACCCAGATTGTCCATCACACGGTCCAGTCCGTTCGCACTCCTGGTTGCCGCAATCCTCATAAACTCTGTGCAACTTGTACAGAATCAGCAGTGCCAGGGTTCTCAACAGTCTGCCACCATGTAACATGCTGGCTCCAGGAAGGGGCCCCTTTCCTTTACCGAAGCCACTAGGCGACGTTCGAGCAGTGCGCTCGCATGGAAAAGGAGTGAGTGCTCAGAGCACTTGAGCAAGAGCCCGAACCTTTACGCTACCACTGTTTCGCTTTACTCGCTGCATTGGTAGCGGAGCAACACGATCCGGCGACCGAAGAACTTCGATATCGCTGTCGAGGAGTGTTGCTCCGAAAAGCCAAGGCTGCAGCCCACAGTGCAAGACAATCTTTACCTCTGGCTGCATCCTGCCCGCCAAGACTTACGTGCTGGCGGTTTTCTCCACTCTTTTTGGTTTTCAGTTACAAGGTTTTTCAGCGATGTCAGATGTTCGAGATCATCAGTCACCCATTCCCTCTTGGGATGGGTCCTCCAGAACATGGAGACGATACACGCGTGAGGTTGCGTGGTATGTTCAAGGAACAGCTACGCACAAGAGAAGATATGTGGCGTCAAAGCTGCTTAGCCGATTGACAGGACCGGCCAGGCTGCTGGCCATGAGTTGGTCACGGATGGTTGTGGACAGTCCGTCGGGAGCCAGAGTACTGCTTCAGAAGCTGGCGATGAGCCCCCTTGTACGGCGCAACCTCCCCAACGCCGCTGCTATATGTTCTCAATACTTTTCCTTTCGACGGAACCCTCAGGAGTCGATTGGCAACTTCCTCGTCCGGGAGACTCTCATCCACGAGGAGTTCGTCGAGGCCTTGATAAGGTTGTGGGAAGATAAGCAAGGGGTCGCTCAGGAACAAAGGGACTTTGGTTTGCCGGATGATGATGACGGCTGGGATGATGAGGATTGGGGTAAGGGCTCGTGGGGCTGGTGGTCCTATGGCGATGAAGATGCTGAGGGTGATGCAGAAGATGCTGAGCTACCGGCAGATCCGACGACCACCGGCGATGCACCTATGGCGGATGCCTCAGCAGCCGCTGCTTCCCCTCTGTCGGCCACTAGAGAAGCACCACGAGCGACCACAGGATCCTCCCCAAGTCATCGAGGAGAACCGGAACCAGGACCTGCAGCGACTACTCTCCCAGCAGTCCCTACCAAGGAACCTCCTACTATGTTGGACGAGCTGACGCTTGCAGACAGCTTCATCCTCAGCGTGCTGAGAGGCTGGAGATGGGTTAACCCCCGACGAGATGAGGGACATCCTTTCCAGCACAAAGAACAGCATGGACTATGACTTGATCGCGGCAGCGCTCCAGAACTTGTGGGACGACCAGCTCCTGGGCAACAGGCCTAAGCACAAGCCCTTCTACCCGCACCACGCGCACTACATGGACGAGGCGGACGACCATGAGCTCTACTACCAGGATGGTGGCGCAGCATGGGATGATGATTCTTCATGGTGGGACGACGGCTATGCCTACTACACGGATCAGAGCCACGAGGATGAGTGGTGGCAAGATGATTGGGGCACGACCGACACGTCGCCCCTGGCCAACGCGGCTACGTCTGAGTCTGTGGATGAGGAGAAAATGAGAGAGGCCCAGCAGGCCGAACAGATGGCCGAATCGCTGGCCATCGAGGCTCAGAGGACCTGGAGTGAGGCCCAACGGGCCACACAAGCCTTGAGACGAGATCGAGGTTTCGGAGCCCCTGGTGCCAGCAACATGACCAAGTGTTACATCTGTGGCGGCCCGCACTTCATGAAGGACTGCCCCCGCAATTCCGGCGGATCCCCCAAGGGCAAGATGAAGGGCAAGGCCAAGTACGGCTACGTGACGGACATGGACGCGTACTACATCAAGGGCAAGTCCAAGTCCAAGGGGAAGTCCAAGGGAAAGAAGGGCATGTATCTGAACGCGGATGCCGTTTGGAAGGGAAAAGGCAAGGGACCAGACTGGGCTCCGAGGACGGTCAACGCCTACGCGAGTGACTACTTCATGGGTGGCCTGGAGCTTTCCACGACCATTGCGAGCTCAAAGCCACCACAGGCCAAGGCGGCCCCAGAGTTAGGGATGATCGACTGTGGAGCGACAGCCTCAGCCGCTCCTGAGGCGGTAGTCAAAGGATTGATTTCGGCAATCCTTGAGAAGGACAGCGGAGCCCGAGTGGACGTCGACACAAATGCCAGGCCCTACTTCAGATTTGGTGATGGCCGATGGGGTCGTGCGCTCTACCGGGTTCATATCAGCAGTGCAGTTTCAGGTTCCACCAAACGGTTTGCACTCTACGTCCTACCGAATCCCAAGGAGTACTTTCAAGCAGGGTTTGACAAGGCATCCCTAGTACCCATTCTCATTGGCATGGACTTTCTTGGGAAGGATGGCAATGGTCTCATCATTGACTTTACTACCGGCCTAGTCACGAGTTCTGTTGATGAGAAACCAGAAATCCTACAGCTCAAACAAAACCACAAGGGACACTTCTTGTTGGATGTTCGGGAGTATCTCACGCGGGGACATGTGAATCTTGAAGGTCATGCTCATGTGGTTGTGTCACCGTCTTCGGCAAGCATCCTTCAACCTGAAGCACATGTTCTCGAATTTCATGTTGTGCAGTTTGACCTGACAGCCAGTGATCTTGTGCTTGAGAGTTCAGTGCTGCAGCGGTCACGAGATAGACTTGTTGAATTGCATCAGCGCTCGCGTGAACTCCAAGGTTTGAGTGTGACAGCAACTTCTTGCTCAATGCTCGCGACCCAGCAGTCGCTCGAAGCCCCGACAACATCCCCTACTCGATCCTCTCGACATGTCGTCTTCAGCGCATGTCGACCCGGAGGCCGCGGAGATCCTCACTGCGGCGATGAAGGTGAAGGCTGCTCCCAAGAAGCCGCGAGCGCGTTCACTCGATCTGAACCGCTCCATGAAGGCGGACCCCAGGGATCCTCGCAGCAGCCCGAAGTGCTGGCCATGTTACGGCCGCCACCAACCAGACAAGCCGCAAGCGAATCAATGGGGCCAATGGGTACACTGCCAAGTGTGCAACCTCCGCATCCTCTACACGCCTCGCAAAGGAGCCCCTGCCAACCACACAGTGACTCACAATGCCGCCATGGTGAAGAAAATGCTCACCCAACTGAAACCTCTCCTCGGCGACCGGAAGCCCACGGCAAGGGTGTGCTTGCACATGTTTGCAAAGATCACGGCCGAGGAGGTCCTGGAGGAGTCGATCCGGGAGATTGTGACCCCGACCAGTCTCTCAATGACCTCGGCTACGGCAAGCGCGAACGGCTACCACGGCAGCACGATTCAGGACAACGAGGAGGAGCTGGTCATCGACTACAGCCACGAAGTGGAGGTGGTTCCGTGAATGAGAAACTGAAGCCCATGACCCAACACACGGCCCACAAGGTGATGGCTATGGCATCCTTGATGGTTGCAGCGACAGCGTCCGCTCTGGTCGGACTTCAACTAGACGGGCGAGATGGACTCTGGGAGTTCACTGGAACACACCCAGCGTGGATTGTTGATGCGGCCCAACATCAAGGACTACAACCGCGAGCCATCAACCTGCAAGCAGGCTATGACCTACAACGGGAGGACACATGGGCTCAACTACGGAAGCTGTGGCATCAACGGCGACCTCGGAAGTTGTGGTTCTCTCTACCCTGTCAGTCATGGTGTCCATGGACGACTATGGACAAACAGGATCCTCGCCAACAACGGAACCTGGACACCCAGAGGCGCAAGGACAGGCGACAACTTGGCTACGCCGTGGAGTTCGTGAAGTACGTGCTATCTCAGGACGATGAGACCCAGGTGTACTGGGAGATGCCCACCAACAACTACGGATGGAAGCAAGCGGCTCTACAACATCTACGAGAATGGTTGGAACTCAAGATGCTTCCATGGCTTGGTTGCAGAATGGATGGGTGCGTGTATGGTCTGCGCGAGGAGTCACAGGGAGACCTGGTCATCAAGAAATGGACGATTCAGACAAACGATGAACGGTTCCATCGCAACTACCGGGCAAAGGTGTGCGTGGGTAACCACCGACACAGCATGACTGCCGGCGTCGACTACCAGCGAGGCTCCTCTTATCCAAAGAGGATGGTGGAATCTATTGTCCGTTCATGGCGTGATGAACTTGCGCCTCCCCGACATCACCGACTACTTTCTCTTCAACAAGATCAACCAGCTCTCGCTGAAGAATGGATGGAGGCTGAATCTGTGGAGCTTGATGATGAAGTTGTGGCGTATACGGATGATAACCTTATTGACCACGACTCCCTCCTGAGTGAGTCCTTCCGCATTCAACATGAACACCAAGCTCGAGAGGCAAGAACCTATGCGAGATTTGACTGGGAGACTTGCTCTACTCTTCATCAACTACATGATTATGGTCGCAATTCTGGGAGGCCGCACAGCCGAGGAACCACGTCCGGAGTGAATAGTTTCGGACTGGGCGCCTACTCCCACGGTGCCTTCAGAGGCATCTCAAAGCTCACCTTCAAAAATCAGGAGCTCACCAAGTATTTGAATGCCTTTTTAAGACATCATCTACCTGGGTGACTTTGAACAAGGCGGTTTATGGCTACAAGGTCAACCACCTCCGGGGCGCTCTGTGGTCAAACGGCTCGTACAAGGGCTGGGCTACGTCAATGGCTATGTGGAACCCACAAGGCACAGGTTCGTTGTCTTCAACCCCCGTCAGAGGCACGCTTCCCAAAGATGGACCGGCTTTCGGATAAGCCTAGCAGTCTACACCACGAGACTGGCGCCCTGGATGGAGTCATCAAAGAAGCACACGATGCAGGAGCTCGGGTTTCCCAAAGGAGCACTTGATCCACAACAACCACTTCGGTCTGAGCTGGCCTCAGCACAACAGATTGCTGAGGAGTCGAATCATTCAGAATCTCATCTACCTGTGGCGTCAGCACAGCAGATTGCTGAGAAGTCGAATCAGTCAGAATCTCATCTACCTGTGGCCTGTGGTTTAGATACCATTTGTCCAGCCGTGGAGAATGAGGGTCCCCCTGAAGGCGTTAGCCAGAAGGAGTATGAAGCATGGCAGTCCAAGGTGTCCAAATTTCACAGAGCAGCTGGACATCCCACAAACCGCAACCTGGCTCGCATCATCTCTGATGGAGGGCATCCTCAATGGAAGATTGACGTGGCGCTCCAACATCGATGTCCTGCATGTGAGGCCAACAGACCTGGAAGTACCAGCGCGGGAAGCATACCTCCAGCATCGACATCTCCTATGTACAAGGCTTGGCAAGCTGTTACCGTGGATGCGGCAGAATGGCCGGTGCCAGGGACACGCAACAAGGTGAAGTTTCTCCTTTTCATGGACTATGCTACCAAGCTTAGAGTGGTGGTCCCGATCAAGACAGTGGAGATCATGGCCATGCATGCGGAGAGTGCAGAAGATGTGATACAGGCCTTTTCGGAAAGATGGTTGAGCGTTTTTCCGAAACCACAAGTGATGATCATGGATTCTGCGAAGACGTTTACGTCTGCGAAGATGCATGAGTTCCTGTCCTCCCTCAACATTCTTCCGCACTTCATTGCTGAGAAGGAACACTGGAGTCATGGGGTGGCGGAAGCAGCCATCCAAGATGTCAAAACAACGGCTACCTCAATCCATCTCGAAGCCCAAGACCAACGACCCTATGTGACGCTACAGTTGACGGCGGCGGCACTGAATTCCACGGAGTACACCGCCGGTTTCTCAGCCTTCCAATGGGCCTACGGTCGCAACTACAACATCTCAGAGGAGGACTACAGGACCTTTGCCAACGAAGTTGACCACCAACAGCGGGACTTTTCTCAACTTGTGGTGGCCAGACAGCAAGCTGAGGAGATTGCACGGAAGACCAAGGCGCAGCGTGTGCTCTCCAAGCTGGCCAACACTACCGTGCGACAACCTCTACGTGCATTCAAGGAAATGGACCTGGTGAAGATTTGGCGCAAGGTGTGGCCACAAGAGGTTCACAAGGGACCCCGTGGTGGAATGAAATTGGCTGGAAGACCCCATTGGATTGGACCAGGTCGAGTGGTCTTTCATGAGATACTTCCTCAACAACAACCTGGAGACCAAAGACGACACATTGTCTGGGTCTTGCTGGGAGCACGACTCTACCGATGCTCGGTCCACTCCGTTCGTCCAGTGACGGAAACGGAGAGATTCATTTACGAGACTTCATCCGTTGAAGACCCGAGTCAATGGAAATCTCTAGCAGATATTCTGCCCAAGAGAGAGTACCAGGATATTGTTGATGAGGAGCCGAATGAAGAGGAGAGGGAGTTGCCTGATCTACCCCCTCAACCGGATGACTCGACTGTCCAAGTTCCCACACGACGAGTTCGACAGAAGACCTCCTTCCGCACTGGCGACTACACCAGTCAACCTGTATGTGAACGACTTCAGACTGAGGAAGTCAATGACTATGGAACTGGAACACAACAGCCAACCTCTTCGTCTACGGCAACTTCGTCTGGACTTCATCAACCACCATCACCAGAAACTCCGGATCCCAAAAGAGCCAAGGTGACGGAAGACGACGACCTTGCTGAGACCAACAAGAAATACGGCTCGTGGGTCAACGAACTACAGACACTGGCAGCCATGGAAGAGAAAGAGCTGGATCTACACGTGGCCCTAGAGGAGACACATGAGTTCCTGAAGATTGAGATTGACCTGGGTGACTCCATGTCAAACCGACAGAGAAAGATGTTGATGAACAACCCTCAAGCCTTTCTGGTCAAGAAGATGAGGAACTCTGAGGTGAACATTGCCAAGCTCCCCAGCCACGAGAAGGCTCTCTTCACAAGAGCCAAGACTAAGGAGGTCAGTTCGTTTATTTCCAACGAGGCCGTGAGGAAGTGTCTGGATGACTCCGAGATCCGCGAGGCCTACGACAGTAACCGGATAGTAAAGGCAAGATGGGTTCTGACGTGGAAACTTGTACCTCCTGAGGAACAAGCTGAAGCTAGAGAAGACGCCCGGAAGAATCCGGACACCACCCACAACCAATCCGGCACCAAAAAGGCGAAGGCACGGATTGTCCTGCTTGGGTTTCAACACCCTAGCCTTTTGGACAGGAAGTTCAAGACCGCAGCTCCAGTACAATCCTCGATAGGTCGCAATCTGCTCTACCAGATGGCTGCGCAACACCAGTGGCCGATCGAGGGACTTGACTTGGCTACAGCGTTCCTTCACACACAGCCTACAGAAGCGGATGAGCGGTTATGGACTACTGGAGTGGAAGAACTCCGGGAAGCCTTGGGCGTCGGTGACGAGGCCATCATGCGGATCCTGCGGAACATCTACGGTTCTACCACGGCACCCCGAGGGCTATGGCTTGATCTTCATAAAACTTTGACAAGATTAGGTGCAACGCCCGTTCTTGCCGAAAGATGTATGTGGATTTGGAAGTCGGCCGAAAGACGCGATGATGATCACCCGATGGTCATCGGTGCTATGGGTGGCCATGTGGACGACTTCCACAGGCTTGGCGATGGCTCCGAGGAGTGGAATGGCGTCAAGGAGCAGATCGACAAGGCCTACAAATGGGGCATGACAAAGAAGGGCAACTATCGTCATGCAGGAACTGATGTTACCAGCGTTCAATGCTCCAATGGAGACTTCCTCATCGAGGTGGACCAGTCCTACTACGCGGAGACGGTGGCGGACATCGAGATCTCACCCGAGCGACTACGGGAGGATGGACCTCTTATCCAGAAGGAGATTGGAGCATGCCGTACATCATTGGGAGAACTACAGTGGCTGGCAATACAGACTCAGCCACAACTATGTGCCAGGTGCAACCTGTTGTTGACAGAAGTAGTCACTGCCGGCTGCTTATCTCATGCTCGGGAAATTCAGGAAATGGTGTGCGAAGTGCGTCGGCACACCTTCAAACTTCGGTTCTTCCGCATACCGGCAGCCAAGCACTGGAGTGATATTGTCTTTGTTTCCATGGGTGATCAAGCGCACAACAATCGCCCTCGTGGAGATTCTACCGGTGGCATGATCACTCTGATGGCAGGACCAGATGCGCTCCAAGGCAAGATGAGCTACATGACCTTAATTGCCTGGAGGACATGGAAGCTTCAGCGGAAGTCCATATCTTCCAATGATGCCGAAGTACAGTCCATTCTGGAGGCGGAGGATCAGAACTTCCGTGTTCGTCTACTTTGGACGGAGATGCATGGGGCTGGAATGCGAAACAACCCACGAGATCCTCTCGTGCAGAATGCTGAGCGGCAAGTCCTACGAGTTCGTGGAGTTCTGTGTACGGACTCCAGGGGCGGCTATGACGCCGTCGAGGTGAATGAGAGCCCGCTTCTCGGGCTCAGCAACATGCGTGCAGCCCTGCAGGCCTTTCAGTTGAGAGACAATCTAGCTCGAGTTGGATGTGAACTTCGCTGGCTGGCTTCTGACTATGACCTCGCAGACGCTTTGACGAAGAAAAAGCTGGAGGCCAGACTAGGGTTGCTAAAGTTTCTTGCCTCATGGGTATGGTCCATAGCATTCGATCGCAACTTCACCAGTGCCAAAAAAGGCCAAAGCTCAAGGACACACCGCTATCGGTGCTGTAGATGACTTCCTAGGCAGCGGCTCCCCTGGAGAGCAACTTGATCTCGAACACCTGTTCACTGCTGAAAAGAATTTTATGGCCGTGCAACTTGTACAGAATCAGCAGTGCCAGGGTTCTCAACAGTCTGCCACCATGTAACATGCTGGCTCCAGGAAGGGGCCCCTTTCCTTTACCGAAGCCACTAGGCGACGTTCGAGCAGTGCGCTCGCATGGAAAAGGAGTGAGTGCTCAGAGCACTTGAGCAAGAGCCCGAACCTTTACGCTACCACTGTTTCGCTTTACTCGCTGCACTCTGTGAATCTCGCTTCCATGATCCAGCATTCCAGGCATAGAGCTCGTTTGCACCACTGTGGGGGTTACGCCATTCGATCTCCGTCTCCGTCGCTTCTTCGACACAAAGCAAATCCGTAATTTGGCTAAGCAGTCCAAAGCTTATTGTAGTTTTTCTGCACCCACATCTTTTCGTGTCCGCAATGATTTGGTGCAAGTTGGTAGGGGAGAAGCGTCCGAAGTGCTGTGCTGTTGCAAGGTTCCTGGGATCCTGTAGTTTGGGCCACGAGGTGGGGTTAGTTATTGTATAATCGCGCTGGGTAGCCTCCAGATACGTATCATCGGCGTTCTCATTCGTCATTACCGAATGCACTGCTCGTTAGTTTGTGGTGATTTCAAACATTGACATTGACTCACTTACGACATGGCCAGTTCTTCGTGCAAAGGTTTCGTTGATGCCGGTGCATGCTGAACTTGTTGTGCATTTCGAAGTTGCCGAAAGATTTCAGGCCGTCCCAGCGTTATTAGACAAGTTTAGACACGGAAGTGTCTCTGACTGACGCACTAGCCGCTCATTTCCACGAGGCACACACAGGCCATATCCGTGCCTGTTTTGATGGCTCTTTCGCCACAAATCGGTGCTTCAGATTGTTTAAGAAGCTTTGCTTAAATCCAAAAAGAAAACCCCGCCACATGGTCACCTGTGTGGAGTGCAAGTTCAAACCCATGCAAGGTCCGTGGGCAACTTGCCTGGTGCCAACCCCCGACCACGATGATTGCCCTTCGCAAAAGTGTGGACCACTTCAGCAAGCACCGCCGTATCCATTATTAGGCTACTGGGTCTGGGTTGGGATGGAAACTTTGGAAAATTTATCCTGCTATTCTTCTTTTGGCACTTCAGGACACCTTTCAAGGCAAATTACAAAGCTGGGGTCCGCAAGCCAAAGAAATCATTTCCTTACTTGGTGCAAGTAAGTGCCAGTCCATGTATTGCAAGTCCGCACAACAGCAGCTTGGCGCGCAGAGGCTGTCTTTTCGTCTTGATGCAGAAATTATTACCCTTTCGGAGCTAGGTATGCCCTACCCCACACAGATCCTGCAAATCGTGGGGGACAGTTTTCAAAAACCCTGCTTTTCATGCACCCTTTCGAGACAGGAGTGAAGGCTGTTGGGTGAGCATTGAGTATTCAGGTTTTTTGGCTGAGTCTAGCCTGAAAAACTGATTTTCCCACCTTTCTGCAGTTTGGGGAGCATCAGCTTGGAGCACAAAGATCCACGTATGACCTTTGAGACGACTATTCTGCCAGGGTGAGTCAGGCTGGTGCCTG